CCATTTGGCCTTTGTTGGAGTGGGTGGGGCCGCTGTTTTTTTCTGTGGTGTTTGGCTGGTGTTGAGTGATTATTATCTAATATTTTTCTGTCTTAGTAGGTTTCCTCTTTTCTCATCCTTTGACTAGAGAGAGCTGACTTGTTGGGGCTTTCTTTTGTCTGTACCCATTGGCGTTTCCAGTTTGCTGGCTTCTTCAGTGCTAAGGGGGATACATGAGGCAAGAAGAAAATCCAGAGAATTTTCCACCGTGTTGTTCCTTAGGTCCGGAGCTCCCCACCTGGTCTGCCTTCTCCTCTCCACCTTCCAGGGTCTTCTAATTTCTGTTTTGCAGGTTATGTCCAGAATTTTTAGTTGTACTTATCAGGAGGAATAGGAAAAGTTGTGTCTACTCATCTTTCCAGAAGTGGAAGTTGCACCTGTTGTTGTAAGTTAACAATAATAGATCTTAGGCATCGTTTCATATTAGTATATGAATTGCATACTTAATCTTTTGTTTAAATTATGCATTGTATTTCCTTTTATGAATGTACCATAATTTTTTTTAACCAGTTCCCCTACTGATGGGCATTTAGGTTGTTTTCAATGTTTTGCTCTTACAAGCAGTGCTTCAGTGAATAACTTCATGTATATGTGTCAGTTTGCATGTGTTCCAGTATGGCTGAAAGACAGCTTCCTGTCTTACTATCCATATTTTCTTAGAGAACTGTGTATTCATTTGACAGAAGAGTCACTGTCGCCTAAAGGAAATCAGAATATTTCATTTTAGATGGATCTGATTGTGAAAAAGTCACTCCTTGTATGAATGTGTGCTTAGATCTACTTTCCTACAACTTCATGCATTGATTCTCGTTCAGAGCTGGTGACCAAGACAGGACAAATTCAGCTTCTCTTCCTTACAACAACCCTTAGATATTCAAAGCTGTGTGTCTTTGTAACCTTCATCTTCTGTTCTCCATCCTAAAAAGTTTGAGTCATTTTAGCCATTGCATGATTTCCAGATATTCCGAATAAGACCTGGTTTGTTGAAGATGTTATTTTACACTTGGACATCTAGAGGGAAATGGGATACTGTAATCAATATGCTGGCTAGTGGTTGCTAGTGACAAAAAAGTTGAACCCCAAATTTTGGGGACCCCTGTCACAGTCTGAATTATATTCCCAGAGACCACTGTAATGCCTTCCTTGCATTATGGATGAATGAATGCATCTAGAAATCAATAAATTAATAAATACTGAGCTTACGCTTGACTTAAATCCTCAGTTTTGTTCATGCATATGTCTGCTTCTGATCTGTGCTTGGACAGTTGATTTGGAGGGCATCTGCTGGACTTTGCATTTGTCCCTATAAAACTTTATGGATATCAGAGCTATCCAGTCTTCCAACATTCTCAGATCATTTTGGATACTAATTGTGTCCTTGCATGTATTGTTTTTCTCTCTCAACACCATGCCATTTGTACTCATCTGACTGCTTAAATGGGATATATTTTGCTCATACTCATACAAAATAGTCATAAGATATTTTTTAAAAAAGTAACTTCCTGGAAGTAGAGTTGCCGGGGCAAAGGGCATGTGTGTTTACATTCTGATAGAGAATGCTAAATGGCCTGCTACAGAGATCGATTGTCCGAATCACCTTGAATATTGTCTGTATAGACAGGACTCCTGCTCATCTGAGACAGAGCCCCAAAGAAGGTTAATTTGAAGCACTAGATCTGAGTAATGTAACCCTGATGTCATCTGATGGGACCTTCCACTTTTTTTTTTCCAACAAATTTTCATATAAAATTATCTAAAATATAAGGAAAGTGTTTATTTTGATCAGCAACAATCCTGCCTCATGAAGACATCTTTGTGTAGTTGTTATGTATAGTACGTTGGTATCTGGTTTTGTAATACCTCATTTTACCCAAGTAAACTTGTATTTTTTTTTTAGTAGCTTTTTCTGTGGATATTAAACTCTCATTTGGGTCTGAATTATGCTCTTGTGGCTGATGATGTTAAGCAGTACATCAATTAAGTGATTTTTCTCGATTTAATGGGTCATTCAAATTCATAGACATTTCTTGTGGTTTGATGGTTATTGTTCACTCGTTTATTGTCATGATTTTCAATCCAAGATTCTCCAAGAGATTTTTGTTTTTCTGATTAAATTAACAAGAGTGATGGATGAACTGCTACTTTATAACTTTTTATTGAATCATAATTGATATAGAATATTAGTTTCAGTTGTACAAGATAGTGATTCAGTGTTTTCTACATTACCAAAAAATGATTACCATCTGTCACCCTACAAATTTATTACAATATTATTGGCTCTATTCTCGATGCTATACACTACATCTCTGCATTTTTTTTTAATAACTGGAAGTTTGTACCTCTTAATCCCCTTTACCTCTTTTGTCTGCCCACTTTCCCTTTCCCCTGGCTACTGCCAGTTTTTTCTCTGTATCTAGGAGTCTGTTTCTCGTTTGTTTTATTTATTTTTTTAGATTCTACATATAAATGAAATCATATAGTATTTGTCTTTCCCTAACTTCTTTAACTTAGCATAATACCATCTAGGTCTGTTCATGTTGTTGCACATGGGGATTTCATTCTTTTTTATGGCTGAGTAATATTCCTGTGTGTGTGTGTGTGTGTGCACACGCGCGCGCACATGTGTAACACATCTTTATGCATTCATCTGTTGGTGGACACTTAGGTTGCTCCCATATCTTGACTCTTGTAGGGATACATACATACTTTCATCATTTTGAATGTAGTCCTGCTTTGTATATATAATGGATATTCTTCATCTGGTTTCTTTTACTCAACCCAGTCTCCGTGTTGTACATAGCAATAGTTTATTCTTTTTTTTTTTTATTACTATGTAGTGTTCTGCTGTATGAACAGATTACAGTTTGTTTATTTTGCTTAGAATGGATTATTTCAGCTTTTGGTTATTCTGAATGAGGTTGCTATGCACACTTTTGTACATGCCATTTGGTGGACATATCACACTATCTCTTTTAATATCTCTTAGGCATAATTGTTTTAATCTCACAAAATTGTCTGCCGGATTGATTCTTTATTTACTTTCCCATACTGTGCTTGCTTTGGCAGCATGTCTACTTTCCCATACTTACCTTTTCCTGAGATGGTAATTTCCTAAAATTCATTTAAGGTAGAAGGCTTTGGTTTTGGATCATGAACATAGCACAAAGAAACAGTATTTGGTATGTCATTGCTGGAGGGCAAGTTAGATGTGGCATGTGACCCTTCATCTGCATAGAATTCTGTAGGAATATCTAGTCCTCAAAATTGGTGTTTGACATTCTCTCAGACAAAGTCTTTGGCAGAAGATAACTACTGTTATCTTCTGTGCTGTGTTCCCAGTCTTGGGAGCCCTCCCCTAATCACCCCCAGAACCTCCACCAATGGCTCATCCATGTGGCCCTCTGTTACTGCTAGCCTCTGTTAAGACCGTTTGCTGCCTTTGTTGTAATCACCACTAACTGTATCACGTATGTAGGATATCATATGCATGTGCGTATCTTTTGAACATGGACTTACATGTAGCTAGTTACAGTTAATAGTGGGAATTAGTTTTCTTTAGTCAATTTATATGCTATCATTTGGGAACTTTTTTGCCAGTGACCGAGAAATTTTACCTTCCACAGTAGCTCTCATATACTTGGAGACTTGGAGACACTTGAATGGCATCATCATCAAAGTATTAGTAAATAGCTTTTACTGTATCACTTGGTTGAAATCATGGCTATTTGGTATAATTTTTGAATTAAAATAATTTTTCATTTGATCATATTCTGACACATTTAAGATACAGTTTAACACTGAAATCTTTGCTCCCTCCAACCATGATTTATATACGTTGCCAAGCATGATTTATATATAATTAATTCAGTATTATTTCCTTTTTCTAAAAAAGTGGCCTTCCCTTATGTTTAAAATGTAAAAATTTTCCTATTTTTTCCTTTCTGTTCTCAAAAATCCACTGTGGGTGCTATCGTTTTTGCTGATACACAGCTTTATCAGGTATGATTCCTGTGTCATGTTGGACTTTACAGATATGTTGTTGAAATTTCCAGGGGAAAAACTTTCCAGATTGACTTCTACATTTGCTTGATCAGTATTTGTGAGTATCTTATGAAAATTGTTCGCCTTTAAGGTATAGAGTGGTCTGTCTATCAAAAACAACTTTGCCAAATTTATTACACCTATATTCCAAAAAGTAGTTTTGAGTGTTTTCTTCAAAAATATTGATATTTTTCTCTGGTTTTCTTCACCATTAATCTGTGTATAGTTCTCTGCATTTTTCCTGTTTATACGCATACATGTTTGTGTACTAGTCAGTGTTATTCTTAAAATACATGATTTTTCAAACTGTTACATATTTCTAACCAGATTTTTTCCAAACTGTCTTCCATGAAATACATTAGTCTGAGATGCTAAAGAGAATGGGACAAAAAACATTATAAAATGTTTACTATATCCCTGTTTGAGAGATTCACCATGCACATTAGCATATTAAAGGATCTGGTGTTAGGCGGTAAAGAAATTTGTTTACCTTTGTTGATCTCAGCATCTTCTAGAAATATTTGAGTGTAGAACACTTCATAACACCCTGGGTGTTGTGGCGATACCCATCGGGGAACTCTTGCAAAAGACTGAGTAGAGTTTTCTCTGTAGTGTTTTAACACATCAAGTAATAGTTGATTAAAAGTGATTAAATTTTCAAGAAGTTGAAACACTTAGCTGAATTGTATTTGGGTTGTATTTTCTTGTAGAAATTACATTTTGAAATACAGCATTGATGTTTTTCTTTCCTGTATACTCTCTTTCAGTACTTGTGTCGACCTTTAAACATTTGTAAAACTACTGTAAAAATGCTGCTTTTTTGTAGGAAGGAGGTTTTTTTGGTTGCTGTTATCATGTTTGCTCGCTTCTCTTCTGTAAGAATTTGCTTTTATCCTTAAAAAATATGTTTACTCTTTCAGATAGCGTGACACAGGAAAGGAGGCCTCCCAAACTTGCCTTTATGTCAAGAGGTGTTGGGGACAAAGGTTCATCCAGTCATAATAAACCAAAGGCCACAGGTATGGGTGAGGAGACTACAGTTCTTAGATATTAACATGGTATCTGATTTGCCATAGCAGTGAAAGGAGGTTGAAAGTTTTTACTCAATGTATATGTAGGTTCTCTTCTTCCAAACGTTTTTAGTATTTCACTAAAAATTTTTTATAGATGCTCTTGCTTAAGCCAAGAGTTCCCAACCTTTTTTAGTTGATGAAAAGCTTTCTGTGAGGACCTGTGTCTTTTGTTGGTTTGTATCAGCTGGTTTTTGGAACCCCCTACTTGCAACATTTGTATGTAAAGTTTAGAGTTGCAACTGTACAAAATCACCTTATCTGGATAATGTTAGGGTAAAGTATATAGAGAGTAATTATGTGGATTTTGCTAACAAAATGTGGCACAAGATAAATTCCAAACTGCTAAGCAAAAATTTTTGTCTCTCTTCCAGAAACTCCCTCACAATGCATGTGGAGTTCTTAGCGTTTTTTCTTTAGCTTCCACATATTTCATAGTTTTAAAGGATGGTGGTTATACAAGCTAAACAGCTCATTTAAAAAACTGTAAGAATGTTTGTTAACTCAGATGTGGGTTAGGAGCAGAATATTTTTTCCTCAGTTATCTGGTGAACAAAACTACTTTGGCTCCTTTTAAAGGAAATTGTATTTTAAGAAGTATTTTATGTGATTTTGGACCCTGGGAGATTTAGGATTAAATAGGAGACACAAGTAATCGTTATTTTTTGTGTTAACTTATGGATCTAGATAGGATAGCTCACACTTGTTATTCTCACTTAAATATAAATAGCCTACAGATTTTCTGAAGACATGTGCCTTACTTGTAGCAGATCTTAGTTATAAGCATAAAATACAGAGCTATCTGCTTTAAATTGAAAAAAAAAATCAGATTTTGTATGGGTTCTAGAAATGCCCTGCTCTCACCTACAGCGTGTCCTCTTAGTACTGAGGCAGGGTAAGGTCTTGAAATGTCGGTGACAGGGCTACACTAACTCTTTCTTTATATAAAAAAATAATACTGCATCAGGTTTTCAAAGGCATGAAGAAATGAAGCAAGGAATTTGATGATGAAGAATTCCAAACTGTTTAAATTTTTTAAACTTAATTGGCGCACTGATTTATGTATACAGCATTTGAAGATAACCTTCTTCTGAAAGAAACAGTTTTAAAATAACGGGTTGAATTTGGGAGCCAACAGGTTCATCACATGAAATTGGGGAATGGTGATGTTGACACTTGGAAATAAGCCATAGAAGGTGAAATAATTTTTAAAAGCAGTTTGTCTTAAAAAAAAAAAAAAAAAGGCTCTTTTTTTAACTTCTTCCTCTTCCCCTCCTGTATCGATTCTTGGGTGGAAGAATTTTTTAACATTGCCAAAGTGGTTGAAAACGCTAATAGGGGCGCCTGGGTGGCTCGGTGGTTAGGCGTCTGCCTTCGGCTCGGGTCATGATCCCGGGGTCCTGTGATCGAGCCCCGCATCGGGCTCCCTGCTCGGCGGGAGGCTTGCTTCTGCCTCTCCCTCTCCCCCTGCTTGTGTTCCTTCTCTCGCTGTGTTTCTCTCTAGCAAATAAATAAATAAAATCTTAAAAAAATAAAAATCCTGGTTCACAAAAACCGTGTGAGATGGGAGAGGAAAATCAGAGTTCAAAATATTAAAAAAAAGCTAATACAATACATTGTGTTTGTATACATCTGTTGCTTTCTTAAGCAATTGTTAACGCTGTATGCATGTTAATTTCTCTTAGGGAAAAGCTTTCACACTGTATTGACTTTATTTTTAAAAGAAACTTTTCTTGATCCGTAGGATCTACCTCAGACCCTGGAAATAGAAACAGATCTGAATTCTTTTATACTTTAAATGGATCTTCTGTTGACTCACAACCACAATCCAAATCAAAAAACACATGGTACATTGATGAAGGTAATCCATAATTTTAGTGTCTTTTATAATGATCCTCTCCTTTTAGCTCATCAAGAAAAAAATAAAGGCTTTTCACTAGCATATCTCATTTTCGGAAGCGGAATGACTAGGCCATTCTTCAGTAATATGACTGAACTAAAATATTGTGTACAGTTTGAACTGTATTGCTGTTAAGATTAATACAACATTTAGAAAATATATCAGTAGCTCGTTTTCTTCCCTTAGCTGATCTTTAGGGCAGATCTCTAGAATCAGTTGAATCATTTGAAGTCTTTCTTGTCTGGGTCTTTACCTCTTTAAAACACTCCCTTTTTAGCTTTCTTTGGTTCAGGGACATCATTTTCTTCTGGTTTATTATTTTCTTTGTTCATCCCTTCAGTAAGTATTTATTGAGTGCTTACAATGTGCCAGGCACTCCTCTAGGCATAGAGGTTACAATGGTGAGTGAAAAACAGACAGGGTCCTTGCCCATTCTGACTTTATGATCAAGTTATTAAAGCGGACATTAATCAGACCATCACAGAAACAGATCTAGAATTACAATCACGGTGAGTGCAGTGAAGGCACGTGATGCTGTGAGAGCATATAAAGGATTTTACTTACGGGGGCTCGGGGATGTTTCTCTGAGGAAGCAGTATGAGCTTAAATTTACCAGAGGAGTGTGAGGTAACACAGGGAAAAGGACAAAGAACCTTTTAGGCAGGGGGAATAGCATATGTAAAGGCCTCGTGGAAAAATGGAGCTGGTGTTTGCCAAGGACTAAAAAGAGCCAGAGTAGCTCGAACAAAGAGAGAGGCATAACATTTTATGAGAAAGGCTCACAGGGCCAGGGCATGTGGAGCCTGGTGTGCCCTCTTTAAAGGAAATGGGAAGGCGCTGAAGGATTTTCAGCAAGGGGTGACATGACCAAGTTTGCCTTTTGAAAATCATTCTGGCGGCACGGTGGACAGTGGATTGAAGCAGGGACCGTGTGGGTGCGAGGGCACCATTGAAGGTGGTTGCGGGGCCCAGAAATAGATTATAGCAGCTAGGGCGAGACTTGTTGGGGGAAGGGTTGGGGAAAGTGGATAGTGTAGGAGATATTTAGGAAGTGAATTGGTAAGACTCAGATAGACTGAAAGTGAGAGCTGAGGAAGAAAGAGGTATCAGTGATACTCCGGATTTTCCGGCTTGTATACTTCTATGATTATAGAGGAAGGTGATGAATTTGATTTTGAATATGTTGAGCTCCAGGGGCCTTTTAAACTTCCCAGAGGTGAGTTGTCAAGTAGACAGTTGGGTATACAGGTCTGGAGCTTAGAAGAGAGTTAAGAGCTGGAGAAGTAAATTTGCAAGTTGCCCCCACATATTTGGTGATTAAAGTCCTGTGAATAATATCACCTTTGTTGAGAGTGGAGGGGGGGATGGTAAGACTGAGCCCTGAGGACCTTAGTGTCTGGGAGACAGAGGAGACAGAAAAAAAGCAACCGTAGGGAGGTGAGCAAAACCAGGAGGTTGTTGGGTTAAGCTGGGGAGCTAGCGGACAGCAGTATTGAATGTGCCTAGGAGGGCAAGTAAGATGAAGACCACACGATTACCTGCTGGATTTAGCCAACGGAAGCCATCGATAACCTCAGTTGGTTATGCTTTCGTGGAATGGGGAAATGGAGACATGAGTCCGGTTGCCTAAAATGGAAGTTTAGGCATCTTCCTGGACTTGTCTCTCTCATTTGTCACATCCAGTTGTCACCAAGTTTTCTGGAGTTCCTCCTCTTCAGTATCCCTAGAATCTTTCCCGTCTTCTTCATTTCTGCAACCACTGCCTTAGTTCAGATCCTTTGTTGCTGTCTAGTTAGTATAATGGCCTTCCAACCGGTTCGTCTGCCTCAGCCTTGTTCCTTCTGAATTCATTCTGAACGATAATAACCGCCCTCACCATCTCCTTTCTCACTGCTACCATCATCACTGTGGCTGACGTTTCTTGACAACCTACTGCACCAGGCATTGTGTTACATGCTTTATATGCATTCCTTTGTCCTCATACGAGCTTTATGAGGTAGGTATTTTTACTTTCTGTCTTGTTACAGTGGTTCAATACCTTGCGCCAGTGTTGCACCCCAAGTCTGCTTAACACCAGAACTGCCGCTTTTGATCACTACACTGTGTTTCTCTTCACATTACTCTCTGGTTGATTTTTCTGAAGCTGTATCTGCTCATGTCTCTTCTTTGCTGTATATCGATTAATTTTCTCCTGGCCCTTGAAGATGAAAATCCAGATTCCTTACTTTGGCCTTTTGGACTCTTCTATGGCACGGCTTCTTACTTGTTTCTCTCATTTGTCCTGCATTCCTGCTCTAGCCATGCTTGGAGTAGGGTCATTTTGGAACGTGCCATACTTTTCTCTTGGCGCCTGTTGTTCCTCTTGCCTGGAAATCCTTCTTCCTGTTCCTCCCACTCCATGCTCAGGCTTACTTCTATCCATCTGTTCAATCGCAGCTTGGGTATTATTTTCTCCTTGGAAGCCTTTCCTGTCTCTCCTGGGTTAGGTGAGGTGCCATCACAATTGTCGCCTGTCTCTTCTGCCAGACTGGAGTTCCAATTGCCTCGCACAGGGCTTGGCATGGCTTTCGTAATTGTTTGCAAATTAAATCAAAATAAGAATTGAAGAGTACTGTAGAACTCTGTAAAGACTTTTTAGTTATCCTATGGATTATTTATATTATACATAAACAAATGTAACAGTCCAAGTCTACTGTTACCTCACTTGGGCTCAGATACTCCCTTGGGCTTAGATACTTAAGATACTCACTTTAGGAAAATGGAATGGATTTGAGTGAGCTCTCTGATTTTGCCTTCTCTGTGCCTTTGTTTCTACTTGGGGTAGGATATTGTGAAGATAGGCAGGTATAGGACCTCATCCCCAAGAATTCTTCCTAGCCATAGTGCAGGAAGCTTCCTTCAATGATGCTTCTCCAGGAGGGTTCTGTCTCCCGAGAGACTACTTTGGTAGGTTTTGGCCCATATGTTAGCAGTTACCTGCTCTCTCAAAGATTTGGGAGTGTTGAGACAGCAAGGGCCTGGCAGGGTCCTTTGGCGAGTCACAGCCCTGCTGGCCTCTGCACGAGCATGGGGACTGTCCATGGTGGTTATGGCGCAGCCCCACTCTCTCCCTCTGTTGTTACTGGTGACTTTGGGAATGCTTTTCCCATGAGCTTTCTTTCTTTCTAAGGAAAGGAAAATAGTAAAACCGTGGGTTTGTCATAACCTAGGTGACATTAATTCTATAAGTTTATGCTATGATTTTATTCTTATACAGTTTCTGTAGTGTGGTAGAGTATTTTTAACTTCTTGACTTTAGTCTAATGCTAAGTGTATACTAAGTGTATATAAGATTGTGCGTCCTAAACGGGATATATAAAGTCATGAAATCTATGTGGAGTAGGCCTTCATCCTTAAATTAGAAAACAGAAGTAATTTCATTGTAAAAGAACGTTTCTTTTCTATAATTAATTTCACTTGTATATTTAAAAAGCTTTTTTTCCTACAACATTTGATTCACGTATTCACTTTTTTCTTAAATGTTGAGTATTTTCATGTGTTAGTGGCTATACCAAGTGCTGTGGATTGAACCATGAAGCCTCATGAAAAACCATGAAAAAGACGAGCAGAATTCCTGTTCTTATGGAGCTTATAGTCTGGTTGGTATGACAGATAGTAAATATGTAGACAGACAAGGTAATAATCGATGGTGACATGTGCAAGAAAGAAATGAACAAGGCATGATAGCATCCGGTGGGAAGCCAGCTACCGTAGAGTGTTGTGGAGAGGTCTCTTTGAGGAAAGGATATTTGGGTTGAGATCTGGATGATGTGAGTGCACCCGTCAGAGAAAGAGCTTGGGAAGAACATTCAAGGCAGAGGAGATAGGAAAGGCAAAGACCTGAGGTGAGAAAGAGTATTTGAGGAACAGGAAGTAGGCCAGACTGGCTACAGCAATGTAAGCAAGGAAAATAGGTATCTGAAAGGAATTTGGACAGGTAGGTGGGAGCTAGATCATCCAGGACCTTGTAGATCTTGGTGAGAAATTGAGTATTTATTATAAGAACACTGGAAAGCCATTGGAAGTTTTTAAACAGGGGAATGATAGAAGATCATGGAAGATCTTTAGATTTTAAAAAGGTCTCTCTTAGAGTTGTATGGTGAATAGTTTGGAGAGGGACAAGAAGAAGGTCAGGTCAGGAAAGAGACTGGTTACAGGGTGAAAGATGATGGTGGCTTGAATTAGGGAGGTAGTAGGAGTGAAGAGAGGAGGATGAATTTGACATATATTTTGGAGATAGAACCAAATGCTTTATGGATTTGGGTTTTGGGCTTGAGGGGTTGAGGGTTTGAGAAAGAAAAAAATAACTTTTAAAACTCTTATGTTAAAGGGGATCTTGGGTGGCTCAGTTGCTTAAGTGTCTGCCTTCGGCTTAGGTCGTGATCCCAGGGTCCTGGGATCGAGTCCCGTGTTGGGCTCCCTGCTCAGCGGGAAGTCTGCTTCTCTCTTCTTCTGCCTTCAGCTCCCCCTGCTGTGCTCACTCACTCTCTGTCAAATAAATAAATTAACTCTTAAAAAAAATAAAGTTCCTGTGTTAAATACCATTACTAAAGAATCTTAAATGGATAAGGTAGATAGAATAATAAGGTGCAGAGTACAGTGAACCACCCATGTAGTCACTACTCACTTTGAGAAAAAAACTATCATCATGACCTTCGAAATTCCCTTGGAGCCTCTTCCTAGAACCCTTCCCTTCATGCTCGCCTCTGAGCTTCTGTCATCTTTAATTTAGTGTTTATCATTCTCCTGGTTTTCATGATAGCCTTATAAGTTTGTACGTCTAAACAGTATACTGTTATTTGCATGTTTCTGAGCTTCCTATAAAGGAATCAGCCTGTATGTATGCTGTAATTTCCCCTCAATATTATGTTCCAAAGATTCACCACAGTAGTAGTATATGATTACAATTTATTTGTTTTCATTGCTGTATAGCATTCCATTCTATTTCATTCCATTGCTGTGAAATGTCTAAATATACCACAGTATACGTTTCCAATCGACCACTGATGGACATTTGAATTGTTTTTATTTTCCTGCTATTATTAACAGCTCCACTATTAACATTACACGTGTCTAGACTGTATACTTAGAAATGGATTCACTGGGTCATGTCATATGCACATCTTTCCTTTACTAAATCATGCCACGCTGTTCCCAGAGTAGTTGTACCAGTTTACACTCCCATCAGCATTGTGTGAGGGTATCATTTGCTCTTCATCCTGACCTGTTCTAAGACCTTGAACTTTTGAAATATCTCACGTTGCTTTTCTCTTTTTTTTATCTACTTACTAGTGAGAGCAAGAATCTTTTCACTGATGTGTTGGTGATTTGGGTATCATCTTCTGAGTTGCCTTTCAGGCCCTTGGTCCATTTTTTCCTAGGTTTTTTTTTTTTTTTTGGTCTTTTTTATATTGATTTATAGGCTTTTGTCCAATTTTAATCCTTTGTCAGAAATATGTATTATAGGGGCGCCTGCGTGGCTCGGTTGGTTAAGCGACTGCCTTCGGCTTGGGTCATGGTCTCAGGGTCCTGGGATCGAGCCCCGCATCGGGCTCCCTGCTCGGCGGGAAGCCTGCCTCTCCCTCTCCCACTCCCCTTGCTGTGTTCCCTCTCTCGCTGTCTCTCTCTGTCAAATAAATAAAAATCTTAAAAAAAATATGGATTATAAGTGTTTTCTCCTTGTTCAGCTCATATTCTCACTCTTGTTATGATGCCTTTTAATGAATAAGTAGCTCAATTTTAATATCATATTTGTTAGTCTTTTCCTTTATGGCTTGAATACTTATATTCAAGAAATTACTCTCTGGCCTAAAATCACAAAGAACATTCCTCTGTATTGTCTTCCAGAAGCTTATAGTTTTGCCTTTCACATTTGTCTTTAAACCACCTGGAAGTGATTTTTGTGTAGAGCACGCAGTACAAGTTCAGTTTAATTTTTTTTTAAAGTTTTGATAACTGATGATCTCAGTATTATTTATTGAGAAGTTTATTCCCTGCCCTTCCCCCCATGGTCTGCAGTGCCTGCCTGGCATCTGTATTAGTTATCTTAAGGAAATAGCTTTTGGCTTTGTTTCTCTTTTTGTCTGTTTTCTCTTAAATTATTTTCTGTTTCTGTAAATTTATCTGGTTTTGATTCTCTTTACTGTATGTTTGTCTTCTCTTTCATTAATTCCTGTTTTGTATTTATTCTTTTCCTCTTGACTGTTTTTTGGGAGGTTAATCTGTTCTTCCAACTTCCTAAGTTGTATTCTGAGTTCATTAATATTCTTTTTTTTCTAAAATAAACTATATTAAGTCTGTACATTTCCTTTGTAAGTACTAATTTAGTTGTGTTCCACAAGCGTTTGTTGCTTCTTTCTCTTTTTTTCTTTATTTTAAAAATTTACATAATCATTTCTTTTTTGGTCCTTTAGTTAATTAGAAGCATCTTTCTAAATTTTTTGGTATTTTTTGGTACTGTTTTCTAACTTAATTGTATTATGGACAAAGAGTAAAACCTATTTAATATCAATCAGTAATAGATTTTTTTGGTTTGAGCAATTGGGTGCCATTTACCGAGGTAGAAAAATCTGGAGGTGGGAGGAGAATCTAGAACACTGGAGAGATTAAGTGTGCAGTGCTTAGAAGAATCCTTCTAGAGTCAAAATGGGCAGTTGGACTAGATGTGTATATTAATTTTTAGAGATATGGGCATATTTAATGTTCTTGAATACATTTTTCTAAATAATAATTTTTTATAGTTGCTGAAGACCCTGCAAAATCGCTTACAGAGATATCTCCAGACTTTGGACATGCTTCACCACCCCTGCAGCCTCCTTCCATGAACTCATTATCCACTGAGAACAGATTTCACTCTTTACCATTCAGTCTGACAAAGATGCCCAATACCAATGGAAGTATTGGCCACAGTCCACTCTCTCTGTCAGTTCAGTCCGTGATGGGAGAGCTAAACAATGCACCTGTCCAGGAGAGTCCACCCTTGGCCATGACTTCTGGGAACTCACATGGTCTGGAAGTGGGCTCTCTGGCTGAAGTTAAAGAGAATCCACCTTTCTATGGGGTGATCCGTTGGATTGGTCAGCCACCAGGACTCAACGAAGTGCTAGCTGGACTGGAACTGGTAATTTAATTTGACTTAAAAATTGCAGTTCTTCTCTGGAGTTTTGTGTATTTTTTTTCCCTATTTCGCTTTTTTGTCAAAATGTTTTGTCAAAAAGGCATCGCTAGAGAAAAATTTTATTACCATGTCGCCCAACTTCTTTGCCACCCATGAAGCATCCGACCCACTTGTTCCTGATGTTAGTTGATCTATGTTCAACTAATGAAAACAGATTTTTAGCCTAATGTGTTTAGGCTCATTACATTAAACAGAATACAGTAAGGAAAGCAAATCTGTTATCAGCTTTCTTTTTCTTCCTCAGTCTCCCTCCCCCAGCCAGTTCTAATATTTATATCATCGGTTTTAAGATTAATTGCCATTTTAAGAGATTTTTTATGATCTTTATTAGAGGGAAAGATTTTCCCCTTGGAGATTAGGAAAGCGTAACGTTTGGCCTTTCAGGATCTGGAAAGGATCATTTGAGAACATTTAACTTTTATCTATAAAATATATTTCTTAAAAAATTTGTTTGCATGCTAGTGAATGCTACTTTTGGGGAGGGGGCAGTTGTTAAAATAAATCACCTCTCTCTGCCCCTTAGTTTCAGTACTTGTGGAAATGGTGTGGGAAAGTCAGTTAACCAGGGAAGGTTTAAGCACACATTCTGGAAGAAAATACATTGAGGACTTCATGTTGGATTAAGGAATTAATTTCTTAAATGATTAGTTGTGGGCTGAAGCACTGGTTAGTCGATCCCTTTTTTCTCGGGACAGGCGTGATGAGGGAATTCTGAGAAAGGCTGAGCCAGAAACACATCTTAGCAACCTTCGTTCCTGGTATGCTATGTTGCAAGGTGCAGAGTAACACATACCGAAGCATTTCTTTTTCAGGAGGATGAATGTGCGGGCTGTACGGATGGAACCTTTAGGGGCACTCGGTACTTCACCTGTGCCCTGAAGAAGGCGCTGTTTGTTAAACTGAAGAGCTGCAGGCCCGACTCTAGGTTTGCCTCTCTGCAGCCAGTTTCCAATCAGATTGAACGCTGTAATTCTCTAGGTATTTGGATGCCTTTCGTTTACTTTACCAATCTGGAGTGACTCTGGTTCTGATCTCAGGCCATTTTGCAGTAGGAGGCAGTGACAGCGTTTATACATATTTCTTGCCAATGTTCATTGGCTCGTAAATCAGTAAAAATTGCTACTTGGTGTATAAGAAAGTTATAGTTGTCCCAAGAAGGGGCTTTTGAAAAAAGTATCAGGAAAAAAATGAGATTTGGAAAGTGAAAAATAGTGGGACTTATTTTTCTCTTCCTGTTGGTCGCCAGCATTTTTTTAATGTTTTTAAAATATTTTATTTGTTTGACAGAGGGAGAGAGCACAAGCAGGGGGAGCAGCAGGGAGAGGGAGAAGCAGGCTCCCAGCTAAGCAGGTAGCCCAATGCGGGGCTCGATCCCAGGACCCTGGGATCATGACCTGAGCCGAAGGCAGACGTGTAACTGACTGGGCCACCCAGGCGCCCTGGTCGCCAGCATGTAATTTTTAAAAACACAGAGGTGGAAATTGAAAAGTGGCCTTCTTTTGGTGTATTGAGTACACCAATAAGCATAGCTTATCCAGGAGTCAGCGTTGTTATACGAAGTAGTTTTAGATTGATTCATAGAGGACAGATCCCCTCATCATTCATAACAGGGGACAATTTCCTGATGCTATCGCTTTCCAGTTTTGGGTAATAGTTGTGAAGCATCTTGACAGTTAAGCAACTATCAGTAGGAAAGCCATCTTTAGGAAAAATATTTTTCATTACAGTTGAAGTAATACTGTGGAATTTTTTTTTCTTTTTCGACTTGAAGATGAAACATCTCAGACAAATTATAAAATATTCGGGGAACAAAATATTTTATTTGGCAGATGCTTTTTATACAGTACTTAATAACCCTAAAGTGTTTTTTAAATGGTGGAGGAAGTGAGGTTGAAATGAGCAATAGCATTTTTACAAGCCAAGCTGAAGAACAATGAACCCAAACCTACCTTTTACTTAGTTTTAAGTCATGAAACAAATTTTGCCTCAGAATACAAAAGTGTATTTTAAAATGAAGAAATATATGGGAGTACATATTGTAATAGTTAAAAAGGGTACTTTGGCATTTTCATTTTTATGTTTGCAGCATTTGGAGGCTACTTGAGTGAAGTAGTAGAAGAAAATACCCCACCCAAAATGGAAAAAGAAGGTTTAGAGATAATGATTGGAAAGAAGAAGGGTATCCAGGGTCATTACAATTCTTGTTATTTAGACTCAACCTTATTCTGGTAAGTTTCAAATTAATGCAATAGGGATATAGTTCCACGGGGGCCGAGGCGCGCGCGCGCGCGTGTGTGTGTGCGTGCATGCGTGTGCATGTTGCATGTGCATGAAGGAAACTGCTAACTGCCTTTGAGTGGCTGGGGAACAGGAAAGAAAGGGAGATTTACATTTCATTATACCCTTCGGAAGCTATCGAACGTGGTCTCATGCTCATATCCAAAAAAACTATAAAAGTAATGCTGTGAGTGAGGAGTAAGAATGATAGTGTTACGGGGGGACAGATATTCTCATGGTGTCTGGGAAATCATGTGACTGAAGAGAATTAAGAGTTTTCTTTAAAGACTTATGTTCAGTAGAAGCACAGTTGCCCTCATATATGTAGTTTATTCCAAAGTTGCACGAGTTAACATTGCAAGAAGATCCAACCAAGGTCGCCGCTAGTTAAGTTGAACGTAACTGACCAGCTCTCTACAGCCATGTTGTAAGAATTAGGAAGTCAGTGGGGTGTTAACATTTTAAAAGTGGGGACGAGAATAAACGTGGTGGGCCATTCTTTTTGGCAGAATACTTTACATCTCGTGTAAGGACAAAAACAAGCCCTAAAGAACTGATAACAAGACTTTATAGATTTCCTGATAAAAATTTGCATTAGCCAGATTTCCTTTTTCTTTGATCCTAGCAAGTCACCGCTGTTAGTCACTCACGTGATTTTGGCACAAGTGATTTTGGCATTTAAAAGAAATTTCTATCTCTGCAAAGGGTTGTGCGGGGAGAGAAGTAGGATATCCGGAGTGGGTTATATACTGTGTACGTGTATGCCTCGGGAAGTAGTTTCAGACTTCCTCCTCTGTTGTCTGTACTTCGACTTAGATTTGTAGGCTCCTTTTCAGCTTTTGCAGAGAAGTTCTCTTAATATACTTGAGGCATGTTTTTGTCCTTTAACACTGTCAATCAATAGTTTGTTTTCTCAATATTGGTATTTTTAACTTAGAAGGATCTCTATACCCTGATGATTAAACAATGGGAAACTTAACGGGTGTCTCTGGGACCTGTGTTAATGGAAAGCACTAATTTGTATGTTCCTGGTTCTCCAGACTTTGTGTGTTTTCTCTTCAATTCTCTTTAGTCTCTGTTTCCCAAAAAGTATCACTTTAGTATCTGTTCAGTATCTTTTTAGCATTCTGTTTAGTATCTGTAGTACATGTACAGCATGAGGAAAAATATTCCTTTTATTTTACAGCTTGTTTGCTTTTAGTTCTGTTCTGGACACTGTGTTACTTAGACCTAAAGAAAAGAATGATGTAGAATATTATAGTGAAACTCAGGAGCTACTGAGGACAGAAATTGTTAATCCTCTGAGAATGTAAGTAGAAGATCTATAGTTATTTTGCCCTTAGATGGTGTCCTATTTGCTTTTTGATCTAGTAATTAATTTATACCTGCTTTCATTTATTAAGGAATGGGTGAAAATTTGTCTCTTGATGAAGTATGATTGAACCTTTACTGCCTTTACTTATTTAATTTCTAAATCTGGTTAAGGTGTAGCACATAGCGTATGCCATAAAATGATGAAACCTTTTTGGTAGAGTCCAATTTAGTAATTGCAGTAGGTTTAGAAAAGCTGATATAAGGTACATGGTACTCTTACCTTCTGTTACAGCTCCTTCCAGCAGTTACCTCTAACAGTCATCATTCTCTTTGCTCCAGTTGGCATAGTCTGGCTTCTTAAACTTAATTTTATCTGACAAAAAAGGAGCAAAGGAAAATTTTAATTTGTAGAATAGCTAGTATTTAGTACTCTTGTATTAGAAACAGATGAGATGTATTTTATTAACACATTTCTTGGTTACAGGAATATATTTAGGCCTCCCTGCACATCCTTTAAAAAGTGATTTTTTGGTCATTTCTTAGTTCATGAATTATAAATATGTCTTTCTTTGGTCACAGAAAGCAATTTGTGATGATATAAGCTCAAGTGATGAGACATCTGGTAAGGACATTTCATAAGTGGTAGTAGTGACGTGTGATAATTTCACATTATAAAATTTAAACTATGAAGAGTTAGGGCCCTAGACTATGAAAGAAATCTGTGCACTCAGGAATATAGAGAACAAACTATGTAATTTAAAGTCAATATTAATTTGAATCTTGGGACCCTTTTCTTATTTAACAATTAAAATATAAAAGTAGTTTGATAGAAGATTTTGATGACAAAAATGCAGAAGACTGAATAATAAAGGAGGGCATGCAGAATGGCCTACTGTATAACATGGCTAGGAAAGTAAATTATAAACAAATAAATCTCCCTCCTTCTATCTTTTCTTTACATTCTGTAATGAAAATGACTCTAGTTTTCATCCTTTAAGGTAATTATGAGTCTTGGTTTTGATACCAGTTATTTTATCTGATGCAAATTTTTAAGTTTACTGTCCATTTCTTCTCCCAAGTAATTGATAATGGAACAAGACAGATCAAATCCAAAACTCTAGACCACTTCCTTCTTTCCTTCCCAAACATCTTAAGTCCATTAACAGAAATTATTTGGATGCTGTTGTCCAACCAGTTAAGAATCATGATTAACCAGACTCTGTCACCCTGTCCACAGCAAGGCCCTTGGCAGATGCCTTGTTGTGATCAAGATTCCCTGTGTCTGCAGCGTTCCTATCTTATTAGAGCTGACTGGTTACTGAAACTTCTGCTTTCTCCGTTTCAAGCTCCTCAAAGGCAGAGTCCCTGTTGTATCACCTTATTCATTTTTATATTCCCAGTGGCTGACAGGTTAGAGTACTGGGTTAAGTGGTGGATGCTCAGTGTATGTTAGTTGCAGAGAGTTAATGAGTGAATGAATAGTCAGTATACAAAATGGATATTAGATTAGCTAGTTTTGACTTGCTCTTGTTAAGCTTGTGATGGCCTCCCAGGTTTCTTCCGAAGGCATTTTTAGCATTAGAATTTTGTCAGGGATCCCCGTGGAATGTACTGAATGTGTCCTGTATTCAGATTAAAGATGAGAGACAGTGTCATGCACTTGATGACCAGCTTGATTGCACTTTCAATTTTCAGTTTTTTATCAAGGTCCTTTACCATTCCCTTTGGCAGCTTTTTCAGTGTTTAGTATTAAAAGGACTTGCTCTCAAAGGTTTTTTTTTTTTTTTAAGTAAATGCTTTAATTTCTTAAGCAAATAGAATCAGAAGACCAGTCATTGTAATTTAAAAATGCTTTTTCTTAGATTAGTATATGACAGCTATTACTTAGGCATAAGAGTGTCTGGGGTAATTCTGATGCTAGATTTTTAATTTGTAAACCTCAAGAAGCAGCCTATAACTGTGATTTTCAAAATAATTGTCTAGCTAAGAATTTATGTATGACATATTGGAATTATATAAGAACTGTGTGATTATCAAAATGGGTTATACTAATTTAATATATATGCCACTGTTAATTGTTTTTTACTAACGTAGATTTGGATATGTGTGTGCAACAAAGATTATGAAGCTGAGGAAAATACTTGAAAAAGTTGAGGCTGCATCAGGATTTACCTCTGAAGAAAAAGGTGGCTCTTAATTTATAGGATATGCATTAAAAGTAATTTGAAAGCATATGCTAAATTATTGGCTGAAATGTGTGTCTATGTAGTTTTGGGGATTTTATTTTAAACCAGAAATTCCTTTCTGTGTGATGTACAGTTTTTTTTTAAGTTATTTTTTAAGCTTTTATTTAAATTCCAGTTAACGTACAGTGTAATATTAGTTTCTGTGTAATGGACAGTTTTGCCCCCTTTTTGTAAATACTTTATCTCTTCTAAAAGTGAGTGATATATGGGAAAATGAATCCCTTTGAGAAGTTGCCTAGTTGTAGTACATTAAGTTAATAAATAGTTTTTGTCTTTCCTTCCAGCAATGGTATTCATCATTGTTTCCCTTTAGGGGTGAAGGGTTGCATTGGGTTCATCCCCATTTTTCCAGTTAGCTTTCCTTGTTATAAAAGGAGCTAACATGGCAAACTAGAATTAAGTTTATGGTCAGAGACCATGTTTTAATCTATTCTTAGGTAATGGATTTCCTTAGAGATTCAGCTCCTGACTGTGAACATGTTAGCAGCATACTGTAACCAGCTATGATGTTTAGAGACTTGGTAATTATTCAAATAACAGGAAAAAACAAGATTATATTTCCAATTTTATTCTGCTTAACCCCCCAGAAGAAATTAAAATTATTTCATTATACATGAATTTACTGTACCTTTTCATACACAGTAAAGTTATAACAAAATTGGACTGTCCTACTTGGTCATTAACTATTAAATATCCTTTATAGTTTTCGTTAGGCAGGAAAACTTGAGAACTATGCTTTTAATTGAAAAAGTATCAATTATGAAAGTGAATTTAGAATCAGAATATAACTATTATAAATAAAAAATAGAATGATTGAAAAATTTTGTCTGTGACTTATATTTTTATTTTCTCCTAGATCCTGAAGAATTCCTGAATATCCTATTTCATCATATTTTAAGGGTAGAGCCATTGTTAAAAATAAGGTAACTTTTAAATTGTTACAGAAGCATTGGAAAAAATAGGCAATCTTCGTTTTCTCTGCCATCATTCCAAAAAAATGATTTCTTTAGTGATTAATATTGTATTTGTTTAGGAATCTTAATATGCTAGGTTCCTATGATGCAAATTTAACCATTTAATTATGTAATTAATTAAATTGTTCTCCCCATAGTATCATAGTTAACTGGAAGAGTGAATCCAATGTAAATTTGTGCTTTTAATTTTAACCCTAGTAATATTATTGCAAATCATTTTCTTATAAAACTGTACATAAATATTTTTATAATTTAATTAATGAAAGAGTCTAAGGGAAATTAAGATTCTAAGAGAATCTTATTCTTGGAGCGCCTGTGTGGCTCAGTCACTTGAGCATCCAGTTCTTGATTTCAGCTCAGGTGATGATCTCAGGGTCCTGGGATGGAGCCCCACATCTGGCTCTGTACTCAGTGGGGAGTCTACCTGAGATTCTCTCTGTCTGCCCCTTCCCCCGCTCATGCTTGCACTCTCTCTCTTTCTCTAAAGTGGATAGATTAATCTTAAAAAAAAAAAAAAAAATCTTATTCTAACCCAGCCAAATACCATGAGAATGCTGTTTTTGATGATCCATCACTCAGAATTAGTTTAGCCTCATATTAGCTCTTTTGTTCCCAGTTTTGTAACTTAGCCTTTTTTTCGCCTCCGTCTTGAATGAAAGTCTTGAATCTAATGCACTGAAGTTCTTAGTGAGATATTCTAAATGGATGAACTTTCCAGGTAGTTTAATGATCACAATCTAAGTGCTGAACCCTTTTATACTGTAGCTTGGGTTCCTCTGTTGAAAATCTTGCTGATTTACTATTTACTTCCCTAAGCTGGTCACATACAAATACTCTTACTTGTCTTTCTGTCATAAGTGATGTTGTTTGATGCCAGTGTTGCATCGATGGTTGGAAGGAAGGGAAAGGAGGACAGTACCGCAATTACAGTTTGATATTGTTTTGGAAGTTTTAATTAATGAAATAAGACGTAATACATAAACATCAAGAATACATATTCTGTATTCAAAGATGGTAATAGCTATATGAACATCTAGAAAATCCTAGAGAATTGTTCAGAAACTACTGGAATTAACAAAAGAATTTGTAATTTGACCATGTAGACAATAATCATGGAGAAACCGGCATTTCTATATACCTTCTAGCAGATATGAAAAGGGAATGCTTTCATACTTTGTGAAAGTATAAAATGCCAAAAAATCGATTTTATTGAGATGGGTTTTTTTTTAAAAGACTTGCCCAGAGCTCAAAGGTGAGTTGATTAATTAGTGAGAAAGATTGTGTTCCAGTTAAGAATAGTAAGTTACTTAGAGATGTTAATTTTTTACAGAATGATTTGTACATAAACAGGATCTTAACTTTTTTTTTTTTGAACTCAGTGAAGTGATTTTAGAGTTCTTTACAGGATGAAATGGGTGAAAACATTGAAGTTTGAGGGATTTTTTTTTTAAAGAGCTCTTTTATAAGCTATAAGGCAAAGCACTAGACATTAAACAGTGTGATACTATATAAAAGTGGACCAATAGACCTGAATAGAAAGCTCAAAAATAGAATCTCAGTATCTTATAAGTCAGCTTTCAGACACAAATGAGGTCTTCTTGGAAAGACCACTTTAATACATGATGTAGGAAATCTAACAGGCAATTTGGGAGAAAAAAGTCACTTTTGTTTTCCTCTGGAAGAGATAAATTTCAGATGATTAAAACAATTGTCTTTTTTTTTTTTTCCCCCATGGCCCAACACCTTTTGTGAATGTCATAGACTCTCAGTAATAACAAAGATGAAAACAGCTGTGATTCTCGGGGGGTGAGGAGGGCTGGATACATGTAAGAGTGCATCTCGGTGCTTGAAGGGCTTTTGGGGTTTGGAGAGGGCCCTAGGAAGTTCCGCCACCCCTCGAAGGGGTCACTGCTCCCCTCCCCTTTCAGTGGCCTCTTCATATGGGGAGTCACTCATTTAAAGATTGTAAGAAGATATAAAAAGATACTTCAGACGTTAGCTTTTCTGTCCCAAGTGTCATTCTTCACCTGCAGGAGCCTTTCTTTCTGAGGGAGAGTCTGCTGATGTAACAACTAGGAAGAGGAGTACCGTAAACTCTGTAATAGTGGAACAGTCTGAGAGACTGCACAGAAGTCTTACATGACTGACGAGACAAAGGACTTAGCCGCCTAAGAGGATAAATGCGGATTTGATAACAAACAAAATCAAATAAACAAAAATAGAATTCCCAGAAATAGAGATTAAAAATGTCTATCTCCGTATATATGCTTTATGGCTGGGAGGGGGTGCGTCACTGGATAACTGCTGATTTGGATGATAGATCTGAAGAAAGTACCTGGAATGTAGCCCCAAGGGAAAGAAGTTGGAAAACAAGAGAGGGTAAGAGACGTGGAAGACAGATTCTAAGTGCAGTTCTAGGAGACACTGGAGAGAATGGGGAAGAAGCAATAATTTTGATAGATAACAGCTGAATATTTTCCAGAATTTTTGGCAGACTTAAGTGCTAAGAAGAAAGGTGCACAGGATTCCTGAGCAGGAAGAACCAGGACTAAATCACCTAACTCAGAGACTTATTACAGAATATACTTTAGAAAGACAAAGCTGAATTTCAAGCAAAGGAGTAGTATGCTAGAAACAAGGAAGAATCAATCAAGGTCATAAATATAGGTAAATTAAGCCTTCATACTCAAAAAAACAACAGTAACAATGGTACTGGTAATGACGACTCATGTGGGGTGTTAAAGAGAAAGTAAAACTGAAGTCATAGCCACTATTAAGAGAAGGTAGTGCACGGAGGCAGAGAAGAATTCCAAGAAACGTAGAATAAAATTGGCAATCAAGAAGCAAAGATACAGGGCAGTTTCAGGTTGCGTTACTGAATACTTCTCATTATAGAACATGGTCTGCGTATTCTTATTACATGGATATATTCTATTCCACGGTGCTAGATAGCCCACAGTCTAAAGAATTTTGTTTTTATCTTCTCCATAGATATATGTTTTCTTTTAAGGTTAATGTAACATTTGTACCCTTCTGCTTTTAGATTTTCTTAGTGGAAAATGGCAATCTAAATTGTACGGTTTTGTGCCATCCCACCAGCTTTGCTGTAATTCTTGTGTCTGTGTGCCTTAATGACCCGCTTATTACTTCAGGGTTTTAGCCTTCTAAAACTGTGGTGATGAGATTTGAGTGCTTGTTTTGTTTTTTTTTTTCCTCCCCCACCCCCTTCCAGGCTCCTAATCCGTCCACCTCAATATCGCAAAGCTGTTGGTTTTCATCCTCATTTCGGGTTCCCTTCTCTCGATGTCTGCCTCTTGGGTTCCCATCAACCACGATTCCGCTTCTCCCCTCACCATTATTATTTCTAATTGTTGCAACTACTGACCTCGACTACTTTATGCTTTCTTAGTTTCCTGTCCTATTTTTTTTTCCCTGTTACCTGTTAAATCTTTTTGTGCTTTTGGCTTTCACAGAAAAATGCTGGTCTTTTATAGTCATCAACAACCAAGTAAAATATTGATATAGCATAACCTTCAGGTTTTTTGGTTATCATTTTTTTTAATTTTAAAGATTTTTTTTTTTATTTTTTTTTATTTGACACAGAGAGAGAGAGGCAGCAAGAGAGGGAACACAAGCAGGGGGAGTGGGAGAGGGAGAAGTAGGCCCTCCTCTGAGCAGGGAGCCTGATGCGGGGCTCGATCCCAGGACCCTGGGATCATGACCTGAGCCAAAGGCAGACGCTCAGTGACTGAGCCGCCCAGGCGCCCCTATCATTTGTTTTTATTTGTTGTGGGTTCTCATGAATCTCCTGGCTTTGTTAACAAGTAAGTTTTGTTTATTTCAGGACATTAGTTGCTTGGATAGCTGAGGGCTTCTGAAGGTTGGTCTCTGAACAGCTGTTTCATTATGAAAACTGTGTTAATAAATTTCTTAAAAATCTTGAAATCTAGCTATAAAAATAGTTGATTCTATACCCAGAAATTCTGCTGAGAGGGTAAATAGTACACTTAAAGATTATTAATCCTTTTGGTAGAGTTAGTTTTCTAAAGATTAATGGCATTCTGTAGTAAAATATTTAGTTAGTTAATTTAAGATTTTATTTATTTAAAGAGGGGAAGGGAGGGCATGTGTGAGTGGGGGAAGGGGCAGGGAGAGGGAGAGAGATCTCAAGCAGACTGTGCTGAGTGCTGCTCCCGACATGGGGCTTGATCTCCCAACCCTGAGACCATGACCCAAGCCGAAATCAAGAGTTGGACTCCCAACGGACCGAGCCACCCAGGCGCCCCTGTAGTAAAATATTTGAAAGGGAAAATGTATAATATATTGGTAACACTGTGACAGGCATATAGTAGGAGCTTACTTGGTATTTGTTGAATAAATGGGTGACCATCTTAAAGAGATAGCATGCTTTCATGGAAAGAATAGTCATTGGTTGATAGGACACCTGGTTTCTACACCTAGCTCTGCTTTAAGTTGCCGGGAAGCAATGATTATTCTTTCCTAGAACTCAGGGCCTTCATTTTAGAAGTGAAACGTTGAGTCTGGAAGGTCTCTAAGGGTCTGTCCCATTCAGAGACATAAGAATTTATTTTCCTGTTTAAAGCATTAAATGCCTTTTAGATTTTAAACAGACAATCAATAGTTTAATGGATTGTTGATTAAAAATACTTTTTAGATTTGGACAGTTCAGTTGAACCAAGTCATTTTAGCTTCCGGTTATTATTGTTCACACAGTGCTTCTTGACTGCAGATGTTATTCCATTATTTTTCTGATCACTAAGGGGACTTTTGGATATGAAAACTAAACTCATTTTTAAGGTTTTATGCAAAGTACATTTAATTAATCTGCATTATTGTCTTTTACCTGTTGTTCTGATGACCCAGGGGGCACCGTCAATGCCATAGGTTTTTCTGTCCTCAAATACTGCTGGGACAGCTTCACGTTCTGACTTGAGCATTTTGGAGAAAAATCATATGTTTCTTTCTGCATGTTTTTTTAGATCAGCAGGTCAAAAAGTACAAGATTGTTACTTCTATCAAATTTTTATGGAAAAAAATGAGAAAGTTGGAGTTCCTACAATTCAGCAGTTATTGGAATGGTCTTTTATCAACAGTAACCTGAAATTTGCAGAGGTTAGTGATTATTATATTTTATGTGACACTCCTTAGTAATCTTGAGACTACTACTAGATTTAATAACTGTTCATTTTACCCCACTGAGAACATAGTAACTGTTAACAAAACACAAATTAAAAAAAAAAAAGTTCAGTGTCTCAGTTGTGTCCTTGTAGAAAATGCCTTAGAATTAAGATTAGACTTTGTGGATTTTTGGTGCAAAAGAAAATATAAAGGTAATTTGTAACTTGAAAACTTTTAAGTAGTATCTGAAGCAAAAAGGAAGAATTGTTTTTTTTTTTTAAACTGTCATTTTACCCAGTTTAACATTTTATCTAAGCATATTAGCCAAAATATCAAAGAGGAATGTTCACTTTTCCTTCAACAAGAGACAAATTCACTTATATTGGTTGGTTAGTGAACAAGTGATAGAAATTATTTTTCTTTTCTTGTTTACTGTGTCTTCATGATCTTAGTGGTACATGCTTGTGGTTTATTTTTATTGAATTTATTTCTGAAAGAATGTTCTGGTAAAGCTTTTAACGGCTACAGTTATTTGTTGAAATAGAAGGAATGGTGTCCTTCAGTGACCACAGTTTCTTTATTATACTTGCGAAAACAATTTTTCTAAAATGTTTATTTTAAATATAAACCCACAGTGGAGTGTTAACTCTAGATTGTCATCATATTGTTAGAGACCCAGGGTTGTTGACCTGCCTGACCTCTGGGTGTCCATGGTATGGATCCTGGACCACTTGAAAGCTTGGTGCTCTGCCTCCCTGCTCTGCATTCACGCTCGGATCCTGCGTACAGGCCGTTGGTATTATAGCAGAATCGCTGCTTGGCATGATGACCATGACTGCTTCGGTTTCGTAGGGAGAATTTTTTTCAGCACTTTGATTCTAAAAATACATGTATCTTGTTTTTAGGCACCATCATGTCTGATTATTCAGATGCCTCGATTTGGAAAAGACTTTAAACTGTTTAAAAAAATTTTTCCTTCTCTGGAGTTAAATATAACAGATTTACTTGAAGACAGTAAGTATAAGTTTTTTTAGTTTGTTTTGTTTATTTTTCACAAATAGGCCAGTCAGAGTCTAACGGGATATGGTTCTTCCAGAAGGCAATTCAGGATCTGGAGAGCCTGGAAATACTAAGCTAGGACTTTCAGTTTTAGGTATTCTGAGAAAATAATGAGAGATGCAAATAAATATTCTATATACAAATGTATTTATTGTCACATGATTAAGAAATTAGGAACAATCTATTTGAGAGAAGAGTAGTTAAATGAATTATGGTGTATCTATACAATGGAACTACTGCCATTAAAGTTCGTGTTTGTGAAGACCAAACTGTATGAAGGCAGTTATAACGTAATGTGAAGTGAAAAGGTAAGTTGGTCCTTTCTGTAAGAGGACCCCCCCCCCCAACGCGCACACACGCATACACGGTTACATAAATCTGCAGATATAAAATTATTGGAGAAAATTCACAATAGTGTTGACACTGGTTATCCCTTGCCAACTGAAATTGTAGGTGCTTACAGTTTTCTTCTTTATATTTTTTTCATTCTTTGAATTGTCATCAGTAGACATTTCATAATTGTGTAAAAACACTCTAGAATACACTGTTTTTAAAAAATTGTCACTTGGGGCGCCTGGGTGGCTCACTTGGTTAAATGTCTGCCTTCGGCTCAGTCATGATCCCAGGTTTCTGGGATCGAGCCCCAAGCCCCGAGTCAGGCTCCCTGCCCAGCGGGAAGCCTGCTTCTCCCTCTCCCTGCCCCCTGCTCGTGCTCTCTCTCACTTGCGCTCTCTCTCTCTCAAATAAATCTTAAAAAAAAAAAACAACAACCTGTCACTTGGTCATAGAAAATGTCTTTTTAAAGATATCCCGAGTCCAAGGAAATAAAACATTTATGGGGACAGGGTGGGGTGGACTTGTTGAGGCTAAGTCCTCAATAAAGCTTAGCTTTTCCTTTTGATTTGTTTAATGAAAGAACGCATGTTTAAAGGCCCCATAACCTGTCTCCCACCCCTACCGTTTTAGCCCCCAGGCAGTGCCGGATATGCGGGGGGCTCGCCATGTACGAGTGTAGAGAGTGTTATGATGACCCTGACATCTCCGCTGGAAACATCAAACAGTTTTGTAAAACCTGCAACACTCAAGTAAGCTTGACGTCACTTAATGGATGTTCTCTCCTGAAATAGGAAATTATTTGTAGTTGGAGTTGGAAACATTTTGGAAACTTTTCAAAACCATTATTAACTTGAATTGATAATCCAGTGGTATTGCTCGTGCGTCTTCTGTTTCGTCGGTGGACCGTTGAGAAGTACTTGGTTGCTCTTGATCGGGTTGAATTGAGTTAGAGTAAGTGGGGCCCATTTGCTGGAAACACTTGAGTTTGGCTCACGAGTGACATTCCCTTCATGCTCCGTTTCAGGTCCACCTTCATCCCAAGAGACTGAACCATAAATATAACCCGGTGTCGCTTCCCAAAGATTTACCTGACTGGGACTGGAGGCACGGCTGCATCCCCTGCCAGAAGATGGAATTGTTTGCTGTTCTCTGCATAGAAACAAGCCACTATGTCGCTTTTGTGAAGTATGGGAAGGATGACTCTGCCTGGCTCTTCTTTGACAGCATGGCGGATCGGGATGGTATTTTGTTTTTGTTTTTGTTTTTTTTAAGATTTTATTTATTCATTTGAGGGAGAGAGAGAGAGAGAGAGAGCGAGAGCACCAGCGGGGGGAGGGGCAGAGTGAGAAGGAGAAGCAGACCCCCCGATGATCAGGGAACCTGATGTGGGACTGGATCCCATGACGCTGGGATCATGACCTGAGCTGAAGGTAGATGCTTCACCAACTGAGCCCCTGAGGTGCCCCTGGGATGATTTTAAGAACTTTTCTTCTACATGTGGCACCGTTTTAGTTTGTAGTGGGATAGTTCATAGCGGATAGTCTGTTCTGAGTAATAGAATAGTGTATGTGGAAAGCCTCTCAGGAGTATTTTGGTGACATAGTCTTTATATCTTGAAATGCATGTGCAGCCCTGTTACTAAATTAAGGAACAATATCATTGTGATATTTTGACACACGTGGTTTTTATTAAAAGAAGGATCCTAAAATTCTTATTTTAGGGCTGAGAGGTTTTCTTTTCAGCTTCGTCTTCTTTTACTCTCGGGCTCCTCTCCATTTCTCTACAAGCCATAGTCACCATTTATGAAGCGCCCATGCGCCGAGCTCTCTGGGAAGTACGTTGAGTCATTGTACCGAAATCCCTGCAAGAATGGGGGATTACTCCTCTTTTTCTGTTATTAAAGCTGAAGTTAAGGTGCCTGAGGTCACATAGCTTGTATTTAACTCCATCTTTCTGACCTCATTGCTTATGTCTTTTATACTACGCACTACATTGTCTTCTAAAGGATGAAGCAAAGAATAGAAATAAATATCTTCTTTGGAAAAATAAGCCTATTCTGCATGTAATGTTTCTTTCCGAAATGGGGAGTATGCTGCACCTTCTCAGCCATGTTCGAGGGCGCTTAGGCATTGTTTAACAAATATGTAACGAGCACATGTCCAGTTCCAGGGGCTCTCACGTAACTGAAAAGCATCCGGGGGTCGGACATTTGGAAAAGTCTTTGAGGGGCTGGGCCGGGAGCGCCTAAAACCACACCAGTGCCCGCATTCAGTCTGATGATATGTGAAGCAAAGCCTTGCATAAATATGTATTTAAAATTTAGGGAAGTGGAATAATACTCATTTTGCTAGATATGCTCTAAACTGGATGATCTCATGGTGGAGTGACCGGGGTCCTTCTGTCTGGGAGGGGACATGGGATGTGAGGAGTTGGATGTTGTGTGATTATGCATATTATGGAACACTATTCCCTCACTGAATACAGAGAAGCCTATAAAGTGGGTTTTGGACTTTGCTCAGGATATGCTTCCTTTTACCAGTTTTATTCCATTGGTCCCAGAATCCTTTCAGAAACCAAGAAGTGAGAACACTGTCAAGACTTAAAAGGAGCCTTGAACTTCTAGGAATCAGAAGTAAAATAAGGTCCTTCAGATCTTGGAAATCTGCCTCCACTAAATTTAGAGTTGCAGAATCGCTTTAGTAGGCCGGGGCGGCCAAAGGGGTTAGAACTTGGCTGCCCTAACTAGAGCTCTTCCTCTTTCCTCAGGCGGCCAGAACGGCTTCAACATTCCTCAAGTTACCCCATGCCCAGAAGTGGGAGAGTACCTGAAAATGTCTCCGGAGGACCTGCACTCCCTGGACTCCAGAAGAATCCAAGGCTGCGCACGAAGACTTTTCTGTGATGCGTACATGTGCATGTACCAGAGCCCAACCATGAGTCTGTACAAGTAATCGGGGTCACATTTGGGCAGGGGCAGCGGCCGAAGGCAAGGTTGTCGTGTCACACTGACCTGAGCTAGCAGTTCTGTTCTGCGTCCATTGCCGGCAATGGATGTCTTTGTGGTGGTGATCCTGCTGAAAGGGAGTCCTGTGTTTAAAAAAACAAATTGCTTTTGTGTTACTGAAGTATTTAATAAGAAGCATTTTGCACTCTAGAAAGTATGTTTGTGTTGGTTTTTTAAGAAGTCTAAATGAAGTTATTAATACCTGAAGCTTTAAGTTAAGTGCATTGATCATATGATATTTTTGGAAGCATAAAATTTTAATTGTGACAGTTTAAAACCTCTTTTAGTCCATTGAGAATGTAAATAAATGTGTCTTCTTTATGGACCAAGGATATGAAATCATTTTTCCTTTTAGCTAACGGTTGCCTTGAGGAAGAGATATGTTGGTTTTATTAAGAGTCTACTGTCAATCCAGTTATGAAAATTGTACTGAGTTTGATTTGTTAATTCTCTCCTATATAGTGCTGAGCCCTGCATGCCCGCACCCCACTGAGCTTCTGTGTCTCTGCAGTAGTGGCCAGAAAAGTACTTAAATCCCTTTAATGGTGTTGTTTTCTATTTGTTCTGGTTTTGAGATATCTCAGTGATTTTTGTCATAAAACGTCTATTTTTGATGTAACTTTCCTGGGGGATTCAAATATACAGCAATTGAAGCTCTTCATTCACACCAGTAACTGTCAGCTGAGAGGTTTGTTTGGGTGTTCTTTGTTTTTTTTTTTTTTCGTAAGGCTCTCTATTTTATGGAACAGGGCACAATGAATTTTATTAAAGGGTTGGGGTGATAAGTAGATTTCTACACAGATATATGGCCCATCAGAAAATAAATTTGAACCTGGAATACTCAGTAAAATCTCTCTGAGGAGATGTATTGGCTTTCTAAACCTCTCCTGTTGTGAGGAAGACCGTCCAGAACGTAAGTGAGGTCAGCCAGTCTGCTCACTAAATCCAGCTTGATTTCATGGGAGATCATGGTAGTTAAGAATCAGATATGTTACTGAAATGTTTGCAGCAGCTTCATCCTCCTTCTGGTGAAATAAGTAGAACATGGATGTGTTCTTAGCTCATGTCCACAGCACGTGTCTAGACCACAAGTGGATGTTGTAGACTAGAACTGCAGATTATAAACATCAGTGCCGTGGAACGTGCTTTGGTCTGTGTTTTCTCCAAGTGTCCTTTTGTGGTATTGTTGTCCTTCTGGAAAGACTTCCTAACCATGCAGAAAAACAGAAGAGTTGTCATGTGTATATAGCATATGACTTCATACATCATTTAATGTAAAAAAAAAAGTAGAAAGAGTCTTTATAAACCCTGCAATTAGTTTTTTTAAAGTCACGTTTACCTCTGGTTCTATCATTCCATTTTGCTGATGCTTATTAGCTTTATAAATTGTAGCAAGGTAGAAAAACTCTTTCATCTTGTAATTTTTTCATTTTTGAAATGAAAAAGCACATAAATTTTGCATGAGGTTTTACTAAATGCTTGGGTGGGGCTGGGAGGTGGATACTGGGTCAGGGGTTGGGGGTGAGGACCCCAGGCTCTGGGGCTGGTGCCGCTTCTGTCCACCTTGGGTAACAAGGGAGGGGCCTGGGGTGCACAATATCTGAGGTGTCTTCCAGCTCTGACCTACAAGACCAGTCACCTCTTAGTAGAGCGATGTTGAGTGAATAAATGGATGAATGAGCTTATCAGTGTGATTTTTAAAATGATTATCTGGAGGAATGACCAGGAATCTCTATCTAGGTAAGAATGGATTTAACAGTTAAAAAAGAGGAGAAAGTTCCTTTTCTTTGAAACAAAATGTACATTCGAGAAGGTCTGTCCTGCCCGGCCTCTTACGGCAGAAGGCTTGAAGAAGACCCATATGGATGCATGCACAAGTTTCCCCCTCCGGGATATGGAGGCTCTTTCCAGGGCGAAGGGCCACATCCATAAATTATTTCTAAGGATATTTCCTTCAAATAGAACCTTATGTCCTTTCACTGTTACCTGGGGGAGGGAGCACTCAGTAAGGGGAAGCCAGGGACAGCCGTGGTGCTCTCTGCAGAGGGGTGAGGCTCTTCCCCTGGCCCTGGATGGTCCCTCGCCCTGTCCCAGCAGAGCCCTTGTGGCAAGTGGGCACCCTCAGGGCTGGGCTGTGTAGCACCGGTGGCTCATGTACCTGGTGATCTGTTTAATTTTTAGCCTTAAATTTCCTTTAATACTTTCCTGTTGGCTTCTAAAATGTTTTGGTTCTCCCTTTTTCCATATCCTATCTAAAATCAAGATGGCAATCGAGTAGAATTATTTATAACATGGCTTATGATTCATAGCTACAAATAGAAAATGTAACAAGTCCTGTTCGCCTACCTCCCAACTAAATTCACACTTGTAAGTTTGTGTGTGTGTGTGTGATGTGTGTGTGTGAGTGCTGGCGTAGGGGGTAGGAGGGAGATGGGGGGGAGGGGAACCACATCGTGAGGTAGAGGCTAAGTGTGTGTGTCCCTCACAATCAGCTTTATAAAGGAGTTACCGTTTGACTCCATCCCTGAAAGAATGTTTTGTAAGACTGAGAAAACACATGGAAAGCCAAGAGAAACAGTAACAAAAGTCACTAACATATAGTTGTTACAGTTGCTAAGGATGACCTCCTTAGAATAGCTTAGGATTTTTGTAATTCACATTTGCCAGAAGGTTACAGGTAAATGGCTTCTTTCTATCCCTTGGATTCATTTATTTTTTCACCTAACACATAATTCGGGAACAAGAGAAAGATGGAGTAATTAATCTTATGCAACTTGTGTCATCGTGCCGAGTCCTGTTGTTTGAACTTGGCGTCTTCATAAGTTCAGGCTTTACTCCCCTCCTCAGGTAGATTCCCATATCCAGCTAGATAATGTCGCACCTGCTTGGCTGATCGGAGACAGAGAGGTGAACCGAGAATACAGCAGTAGGCCTTAGCTGAGCGACCGCCCACCAACGAGTATTTCTTGGACATTTATTACTGAGGACTGTGTCAGAAGGAATAGGAGACAGGGTCCCTGCGTTCGAACAGCTTAGCACCTACTTCTGACCACAGAATCTCCACTCCTGGTGGCTTCAGTGTAAGGGCACCAAGTCTCGGGGAAGCTCTGGGACTCAGTAACAAAAAAAGGAGTGACCCGGGTCCACCCCTTTCTCTGGCTCTTGCTCTGTTAGCCTTAGATGACTCCTTCACTACTTTGGACCTTCGTGTCCTCTGTTTAACAAGGGGGTTGGAATATCACATTTCATAGGGAAAAATACAAACTTCTGGGTCCCACGCCACACCTGCTGGATCTTCATGAGTGGAGCTGAGCCTAGGGAATTTGTTAGTAAAAGGCTCCACCGGGCGAGCCTGATGACCAGCCAGATTTGAAAACTACTGAGCTAAAAGATCTCAAAAATATCTTTTCTTTATGTGATTGATAATGTTATAGCATCCATTATTCTACCTAAACGTAGGTAATTGGATGTTTATCGCATTGTTTGTGTTTATGTATGAATTTATATAAGAAACGCATTTGAGTATATATACCTCAGCCCACTGTTTCCTAGAGGTTTTAGCAGTCTTTGGAACACACACACGTCCTAAGAGGATATTTGATATTATTTACCTGGACATTTGTCTCCCATTTTATTTCTTTAGGGGAAACTGAGGCTCTCTCTGGGTACCAAAGAAATGGAAAAATGCAAACTCTTGTGCAAAATTAAAGAAAACATTATTTCGTACTATCTGCTACTTGATGAAAGTCTTAACATCACATGAGAAGATTTTTCGTTGGGGTTCCTCTTATCATGAAGCAAAATGTCCTTGTTAAAGTAGGTGGAGTATAATGTTTCAAATTAAAAATAAGATCTCCTTCTCTGGCAGTTAGTGATGTTAACAACACACCCACGATTCCCCTTCAATGACAATAATACTCGAGTCCCCCAAGGCACGTGGGGGGAGTGGAGGAGGAGAGCGTATTAAAATGGAAACCAGTGTGCACGTGGGAGCGTGGAGGACGACAGAAGGTAACCCCCTCCAAGCGGGTGTGGTGCTCGGGGGCCCCGTGAAGGCAGGGTCTCTGTGCATCTCCCGCGGTCCTTGTCACTTGTCAGAGACTAGGCTTGTGGAGCGTGAGGCTCCCTGCAGGGGCTTGCCCTTGCCCTTGTCCATGTTCCTTCCAGAAGTTTCACTGGAGGGAAAAGAGAAGAAAGGACGCTTCATCTTATTCTACATCCTGGGGCAGCTGCAGGGTCTCTCTTGAGTCAGGGAGCAGTGCTGAACAGCCACCCAGCAAAGGTGGCCAAAGATAATGGAGACGCAGGGAAGGAGCTATTCCTTCTTCCTGATCCTGGTCCACACTGGCGTTTGCAGGGGGCCAGGTTGGTTTCTTGACCCTCAGTCTTGGCCATTTTTGTTTGAGCACATGTCCGAGTCTCTCATTCTCTCACATAGGTTGGGGGTGTGGTGGGAAGGGAAGGCCAGTTATGGGGGAGGGTGGTCCCCCCAGGCACCACACACCTCAGATCTCTCTCTCAGTCTTAAACACTGTCCGCTCTTGCTTTGTACATTTTTTTCTGGAGAGATTATGTTGGAGACTCCACCGTCTTTGATTTTGTGTTGTGAAATGGCCTATAGTACTGTCGAATTTTAACTCCAGAGAGTTTAATGTCCTGTCACAAACATTCACTTTTTTTTTTTTTCAATCCCATTTGAAACTTCCCAGGGAAGTTGTGGTTATTCATAAATTGGTGTAAAGGAGCACATTTTGTACTACATTTTGCATATCTGCTATCTTGTTTGGCATTTTTTTTTTTTTTGGCCTGAAGAACATCCTGTATTTATGAAGATATTCTTTAAAAATAACACCCCATAAAATACCCCTTTACTATCAGATTGCTCTGATTTAGCCTTAATTTTGTTAAATTTTTTAGAGATGAATGAAGTGCTGCTGTGGAAAGAAATGTACTATATACTATTTCTGTATCATTAAAATCAAATTTTTATGGTTCCTCTTCCTTGGATTTCTTTGGGAGAAGGGTTTTGGGAGACGGGAAAACTGGGGTTGACTACCACCTCTTAACATTGTTGCGGGTGCCAGGCAGGTGCCCACTTTGGGGGAAAAGCTGTACCTGGAAATGCAGCCTCTACCCTCATGACGACCGTTCTAGAAAACCTCGCAGATTTCTCCTGCTCTGGGCAATGTGCCAGTGGGTTGCTTCCTGGCATCACGGTTCCCAGTAGTTTCTCAAAGTAACTGGGCATTTCTGGGCTCTGGCCCTGATGAAAGCTCAGTTCTGCCGGTCTCTAAACCACTCCAACTAGCAGCTGCCCTCCTGAGCCTCATTGTCTCTAAACATGGGCACAAAGCTGTCGACTAGAATAGTGTGTCCTGGTCCCCCACGGCTGCCAAGGAGGCGGTTCAACACTCTGCTGTCCTGTCTGACCCAAAGAAGTGATCACAGGATGCTACACGGGCTGACACTCTCATCTCCTGGGTACCCATAGAACAAGTCCCCCTCAAGAATTCCTTGGAGTTCGGGTCCCTTGCTGCCAAGGTAGGAAAGCCAGAATGGTCTAAGTGATACTGAAAATAATAGTACATCCAAGAACCTTCTTGTTTCAAAACCCTATAGCTGAATGAACACATCGGTGATCAAGAAAATGTTGCCATTTTAGCATCCTTTGGTCAGACTCCAGGGTTTGCGTACTTTGTCCTAGATGCC